ACGGGTCACACGAGAGGAGAGACGCAGAGCGCGAAGCAGTTAGTGGAAGACTGGAAATGAATCTTCAATGAAGCCTTCGTCGTGAAAGCCAAGGTGCTTTACTGTACAGATGGGACAGAAAACCACTGACGCCACAGGGTGTTTTTTTTTTTTTTTCTTTTTATGTGCATACTCTCACAAATCATGCCATGATTTCATAAGGTTCTGCACCTGACAGCTTCAAGATGGAATCCATGTGGCACCAAGCATGTCCAGACTCCTGGACGTAAATATTTAATCCGTCTCCAAATGACAGCCTTTCATTCTGCTTCACTGTGACTTCTCCCTTTCAGAATTATGTAAGCCTGAAGATCTGTGCCTTTCTCCCTGACATCACAGCATCTTGTGCGTCCTTTTTGGTTGGCAAGAGTGAAGGTAGAAGACAAAGTAAAAATCAGCAGGAGATATTGTCCTTAAGACAGGAATCCATGCGTAAAAATGGCTGATTAAAATAATTAGTGATGTGGAAATGGTCTGGAAGAATAACCAGCAAACACACACTGACTGCCTCTGAGGAAAAAGAAAGAAGAAGAAGAAGAAGAAAAAGAAGAAGAAGAAGAAGAAGAAAAGAAAAAAACGGTCCATTTGTGTACGAGGAGGAAGACCTCCCTCGGATTCACCACCACAGTGCAATTTTCCACTTTACAGAAAGCCACACAAGCGGAAGCAACAAAAAAACCTTAAACACGCATTAAGAGTTTATAAGATTAAACTCCTCCAAAACAAACAGCAGCCCTCAGAAGAATATGTCAGCTCCAATAGATGTGTCATTAAATTACATTTTGCCTTGCACGCTTAAGTGGCTCTGTTAAAAACAAATCCTTCAAAGTGCAATTCCAAACACTAATAAGGAGGTCTCAGAGACAGTACTAGTGGCTATGTATGGAAATGGGTTTAGTTCAAGCATTGCTACAGAGCAGCAGATGCGGCAGCCGCTCTATTGTCTTTCCAAATAAGTCCATCCGCTTCGCCACCTGGTGCCTTCCACACCTAAAGTCCTTCTAATATTAGTTTAATGGCCCATATGCATTCATAATGTGTCTATGATTGCCTCGTGAGAAGAGCACAAAATCACATTATCATAATGGGATTTTTAGTTTGCAGTCAAATATGAATAAAACATAGCAGGATTTCCAGACTTCTTCTTTTAAATGAATATTCAAACTGTTATACCGGGTATTTTTCTCCTCTTTTTTCCCCACCCACCCCATTTTCTTCTGCTAAATAACCCCCCCCCCCCCCCCCCCAAAAACTTGTAAGAAACACTGGTGAAAAAAACAATAAATAGCTGATTCAAACTTA